GGATATGAGAAAAACAATAGATTTCATGTTTTGAAAATAGTGTATTTTATAACGCATTTTTGGACCATTAATTTTCAAGATTTTCAAGTTTTCATAGATATGTCGAACTACAATATTTTTTAAGCTTTAAACTTTGTAAATAAAGATGAAAATATGTTTTAAGGCTATCACAAACATTTCCAGTATTGAAACCAGATTTCTTGACACTATTTGAAGGTAGGCTCGTATTTGATTGTTTAGAGCCTAGGCTCTATACAAACCACACCCTTAAAAAAATTGACTTTATTTATTTTCTGAAGTCTAATATTTTTCGGTGGTGTACCTTACTTGGGCAAGTCCCGAGTAACTTTCTCGGGCCAGTGGGGAGTTCCTGGCCTGAGATGATTCTTAAAAGATCAATTGCAACTTTGGTGTCTGTGATACGATTTATTGTAGTCTACATTTCTGTGTGTTGTTCTGTACACGCTTTTAACTTTGGAACTTTTCTTTTTCTGTGGTTAGTTTGATTCTGAATTCTTGACAAACGCCATTTGATTATTACCTGGATATTCGTAGATCTTCGGATTTGATTTGTTTGGATAAGGGGGCTAGAATACTTTTGTTCGTATTCTATGCTAACAGTATAAAAAAAAAAAAAAGCTTTTGTTCATATTCTACTTTATGTCAAGGTTTGCTGATATGGGGTTTCATTGCTGTCCCTTATGGTTAGCTTTGAATACGCTAAAGGTTGGTGTAACTTATTTGAAAAAGAGATTAGTTTGGACGTTTGCGGCTAAAAATGCTCAGCAGCTTTCTTTAGTAAATCATTTCTTATTAGTCACAAATAATCTTTTTTTCTTTTTCCAAATACTCAGGTTTGATGTGGCAGTGCTATTTCCTCTTTGATGGGAAAAGCAAGATATTTCATGAATTTGCCGAGTGTAGTAAGAAAATTGGGATTCGTGTAATGTTTAAGTGGTTGTGTAAACTTTCCAATCCAAATGTTTTGTTTTATTAATTATTGTGATTTTAAGATCTTCCTTATGCAGTAGGGGATCTTTAGGTTTAGGGCCCAATGTGGGAATTTGAGGATGGAAGGATTTAGCTATGCCAATCAATATTCAAATTTCTGGTCTTTGTTATATAATTTTCTGGGGCTTTTATGAGAAATTCAGGTTGTGTTTTTTTTTACTGCAACAGGCTTCCTTCTAAAATTTGTAGTGAGACAATCTGGTCAAAACAGCTATAGGTTTTGGTACTTTTCGCTGCTGATATAGTAACTTGTATCCTATTCATCCAAATTGGTTTGGCCTTTAATTACCACTTCTGAATTCGCATTTATTTGTTGCATATTATTGAGACTTGTGAAATTGATTTATGTGCTTTGTTTATGGAGAGAGGACGTGAGCAGTCGTTGTCCTTTTTCCTTTTTTGGTTGATGCGAAGTATGAATCATATACACTCCATGTGCTTAATTAATTTCTTGATGAGTTGAATCAGAATTTTTTGTTGGGTTCATTTGATTTCACGGCCAACCCCAAATAGTTGGGATAAAGCTCGAATGAGGATAATGATGATGGGTTCATCTCATGCTTATAAATATCTTGTATGCAATGAAAAATAACTTGTTTCAAGTTGGCAAAACTCATGCGAGTCAACTTTGACTCTCCAGGTGGGCAAGTATTAAATTATAAATGAAAAACTTGGGATGTAGGTATTTTATCATACATAATTTACTATGTTGAATTTGACACATACAAGGTGTTTCCAATGTGGTAGTGCTGTGGTGTGACTCATGTAATGAGGTGGGTTTGGTTCCCATAATAGACATTTTGTTTTCTTAAAGAGTACAAACAAGAATTTGGAAAACTCATTTTTTCCAAGTACATTGTTCAACTTGACTAGTTGGTTTATTTTTGTACCATGACCAAGTTGGCAACTGGGGATACAAGTTTTTTGAACACTGGTTCCATGTATCAAAATATATAAAAGAAAACATTGCATATAATATATTAGTTGTTGTCTTTTTATCTCCTGGGGTTTTTCATACTTCAGCTTTTGAGATTTTGCGTAAGCGTTGGCTGCAAACCCAGAAGTTGAAATGTCAAGATGGGTTTATCTATACCCCATGTCTATGGCGTATAACCCATCATTGTTTATATTTTGAGATATATTCCTATGTTAGATGTCTCACTTCGTTGGTGGATTATCTTATTTTGAAATTTAGTATTTCATTGTCTCAGTGACCTTACTTTTCCATGCTTTGGCTGGGCCACAGAAATTGGGGTCACTGGATGGAGAGAGAGAAAGAGAGAGAGCATCAATGATTTCTATCTACACTCACACAACGTCATTGTTCTCCAAAAAAACACCAGCATTAACAATTTCCCCCACCGTCTTGCCTCTTTTATCTCTGTTTCTAAAACTGTTCTTCCAGGTAGTTAGCACAGCTTTGCTTGGGACCGATCCAGAATTCCTTAAGAACGACATCAGGGTGAAGCCTAACCTCGACGCCCTTGGATCCCTAGGTGACGTTGGGTGGTATTGCATCAGGTCTATCCTTTGGGCCCACGATTACAAGCTACCCAAGAGTGCCAGAGCTCTACCAGGGCCAGTCATTAATGAAGCTGGGGTGATTCTCGAATGTGGGGCTTCACTATTTTGGGAAGATGGAAATATAGCAGTCTTTCAGTGCTCTTTTATAGGCAATACAACCATGGATGTAACTGTACATGGAAGCAAAGGAACTCTGAAGTTAAGGGATTTCATCATTCCTTTCGAGGAGAAGTCTGGGAGCTTTGAATTTGGTTCTGAGCATGCATTTAATGAGTTTGTGAGTGGCTGGGCTGTGAAGCCCAGCACACATTCGGTTATGACTGATTTGCCTCAAGAAGTTCTCATGGTGAAGGAATTCTCGAGGTTGGTAGCAAGTATTAGGGATTCTAAAGGAAACCCAGATAAGAAATGGCCAGAAATTACAAGAAAGACGCAGAGGGTTTTGGATGCAGTGAAGTCTTCTATAGTAAAGGGTTTCGAGACTGTGGAGCTCTAAGATGGAATATCAGAGATGAAGTTCTCATTAATTTTGGAATATATTTGGGTACGTCTTGTGTCTATGGAATGTACATTTTCCATGAATGAAAAAGAAAAAGGAACTGGCATCCTGTCATATAGACTGTGGGGATGGGCATCTGGGTTTTTCTATTGTTTGTTCTGAAAATTAAGTTCATTAGTCATGAAGTTTTGGTTTTGGGCATATGGGTTTTTATTGTCTGTTCAGAAAATGAACTGTTTTAGTTATGGAACTCTGATTTTAGGCATATGGTTTTCCATGTAATGCAAGTGCTCCAATTTAGATCATATTTCTGGTACATTTCTGATTGCCACCATTATTGGTCTCATTTCTTGTTAGCCATTCATGGTTCTTGTTCTTTGCTTATGATAGATTATGATATGTTTTTCATTGGTTATTATGAGGAAGGAAACATTTCACAGGCTGTGAAATGTTTCTAGAATGGAGCAAAAATTTCCTCTCGAATTTTAGTTCAAAGTATTCCCTTGCCGTGTTTTGGCTGAGATGTTTTCGGCTTATTGGAACCTGAATCTTTGGCTGGAATTCAGAGATTTGATTTTGATGAAGTTTTATGTTTTCTTTGACTGTTTTTACTCCAATCAGATTGGCTCAATTTCAGAGGTTTACTTTTGTTTTTGAAGGTTTTTTTTTTCTTTGCTGTTTCAATCTAAATTACAAAGGAGTCTGAGATGAGAAGTGGTTAGAATGCTTGAATTGGCTTCGACAGCTGAAGTAAAAGGCTTACTACCAACTGAAAATTGTAGTGTTGCTAGGCGATCATGAATTTAGTTCTGTGAAGTTGATCTCTCTATCTCTTAAGTCCTTTCAGACCATGCCAACCGTCAGATGTGATGTTGAGGGATGGGGTATGTCATTCCTCCGTTTAGAGTTCGTCAATCTAAGCGACGGAACATCCCTGGAGAGTTCATCAATCCAAGCGAGGGAACATCCCTCGCGACCCGAATCAAGTGCGCTCATTGTACACATTTCCTTTAAGAAGGTTATTAATGCATCTTGTCGTGTTGTATTTTTTTTTTTCTTTTTTTTTATTTAGGGTTCAGGATCTCAGGCAGTTTTTCTTATTGATCTTAGGGTTTAGGGTTTCTCTTTTTCTTTTAAAAAGATTGGCATTTTGTGTCAAAATATGTTTTTTTTTTTCTTTCAACAAATTGAATTACTTTACGAGGGTTACAATATTAAATAGATATTGACACTAGTGTCTGGTGTCCAACACATGCTCACTAGTTCATATGAACATATTAGTTCAACAACTCAGATTGAATCTAGACCGATCATGATATCATTTTGTATTTTAATTTTGATTTTTTTTTTACAAATCTAAATAACTTGAAACTTTAGACGTTCATTCTTCGACGTACATAATAAAAATATTTTAAAAATAATTCGTGAAAAATAAATTGACTTTTTTAATATTGTCTTTTTGCTTTCTCCATTTATGATAGTTCTCTCAAAGCATCATAAAAAACGTGTCATTGGCTAGTAGTACAAATTGACACCATTTGAGTTTGGCTGACAACCCAGAACTGACACAATCTAAATAGGTCCAGGCCAAATCCAGACCCTATCCGAGTCTGAGTCTAACTTTTTAAAACTTGAACCTGTAAGTATGCCATGCCTACTTCTCTCGTCCAAAATACTGCTCGACTCAACCAAGTTTGCACACCGTGTACCATATTTTTCCTCTGGTATAGGCTAGTAACGAGCCAGGCCTGGTCGGCCCTGGCCCCGGTCACCAATAGGGGGACCCAGGCCCATCCTAGCAAGGCCAAAGAGAGCCCTGGTCCAAGCCCTATCTGAGCCACCATGCTGAAGTTGGCCTAATGGAAAAAATGGAAAAGTAAAATAAAACATAAAACACAAAAGGGCCGGCTGGGTCAAATTGGATTGGCCCTGGTCTAAACCTGTCATGGCCTGGCCCAACACTCGCCTTAGGCCATTAAGACCCGGCCTTCGAACCACATTTTATGGCCCAAGCCCTAATTTCTTAGGGCGGGGCCACCCGATCCATTGCCACCCCTACTTTGGTTTCTCATAGCTTGCGGTGAACAAATAAAATATGGCTTATTGATTTAGGCAATGTATGGCTTCATTATTCGACTTGGCTGAAAAAAGAAAGACTTTTCAATTTAGAATATGCCTATCCATGTCATGCTTCCTTTTTTTTTGAAAAGGATGTAGAAGATTGGCTGAAAAAAAAATGACTTTTAAATTTAGAATATTCCTATCTATGTCATGCTTTTTTTTTTTTTCCCTTGAAAGGGATGCAGAAGGAGATAGCTAAGTTTTTTTTTCCTTGAAAGGGATGCAGAAGGAGATAGCAAGCTTGGATTTCCTCAAAGACGACCCGAATGTTTGGCTTATTCTCCTTGGGTTATCTCTAGTCATCTAGGAAGCCATGGCGTGCTCTTCTTCTTTTATTTATTTATTTATATTTTTTAACCATGAGATTAAAGGAAGAGACATTATGTTAAAGCATCAGCCCCCTAACCACCAGTACCCAACCCCATTCGCATCAACTTGTGCTTTCTTTTATCTTGTCTAACGAGGTAAGTTATGCTTATATTATACTTGCCTATTTTTTTTTTTCCATAAAAGATATGGAGAAAGATATGTATGCTTGGCTTGTTCTCCTTGGTTTGGCTTAATGTTTTAAAGTTTTGAATTTGCTCACCCATGGTACCAAACCAGAGGCTGGATAGGCAATTCAGATCAGCTAGATCAGTGGCGAGTTGATTAAAAATAATAATAATAAATAAAATGATGGGGGAGGGGATGGAGGAGGGACCTAAAGGGATTCTCTATAAACCATTTATCTTTTGAGAAATGATCCTATAGGACCCTTCCCCATACATGTAGGTCGCCAAAAGATCTATAGAAAAGTCAAGTCCCACATCCATGTGAGTATTTTTCTAGAGATCTATGCCAACTTTAATGGTGATCACCAAATGATCACCATTAAAGTTGGCATAGATGAGTGTGAATGGTCATATATGTCACAAACATTCACACTTAGTAGATGTCAAATTGGATGACTCGGGGTGAGTCACGAAATTTGAAACTCTTCTTTTTGAAACTGTTTTTATCCAACGACACTCTTACAACCTATCCATTTTGAAATTTAAGAGACAAAAATGATTGTGACCTTCATGTACAAAAGATAAATGATCTCTTTGTAGACAATCCTGAACCTAAAAGCCTACCTATTAATCCAATTCCCCCTAGAGCCAACGAGGAGGGCATGGCTTGTTAGACATAAACTTATGCTGTATGTCTACATGGAGAAAATAGCCTCATACATCCTTTGGTGGAAAAGGTACGTATCAGTTGCAATATCTCACAAGAATATGATTATTTTCCAATTTTAAATATAATTATCACATTTGAAAGAGTAAGTGTTAAAAGCATTTCGGAGTATTTTAATTTTATTATTTTTCTGTATATTTGATCGAGCTAAAATTAGATATCTATACTTCACATCCAAATACACTTGTAAACAATATATATAACTAATTTAAAAAAATAACCAAAACACGCTTGAAATGTGGAATTTTGGTCATTTCGTTTTTGGCGAATGACTTTTTTATGACTTTTTTAGATTCCCAGATGAGGTGAACTCAACCTCAAATTTTCATCAAGATATAATTTCAAAAATATTAAAATTAAAAAATGCTAGAAGGGAAAGCTATCATGAGAAGTGCCCACTTCTCATTCATTAAGAATCTTGCCCTTCCATAAGGAGCGTGAAAGTCCGCACTTCTCATTTATGAAGAGTGCGCACTTTTGCGTATCCTTCTTGTCCAAACTACGAAACAACTTGGAAGTTCATATTTCTAGTGCCGAAACTTCGAGTTGGCAAACATGTGTTTTATTAACGTTCAAGTTTCGGCGAATTGGTTAATTAGAACCAGGTTTGGACTTAATTGGTTAGTAGTGGATGTTTGCAACACTACGTACTAGATTCAATTCCTAGATTCAATTCCTATAGTTTACTTATAAAAAAAAAAACAGATTGCTTTCTTACTTCACAATTACTCATCGCCGTGGTGTGTTACGAAGTTCAAGAAAATTTGGTTAGAATGGCCTCCTTGTATACTTTTTGGGCACCATTTTTTATTGAAATCGGAAAGCCTCAACGAAAAAAAAAAATGTGAAATGTATACAATGAGACCATATACCTTGATTCAATGAGGTCAAAATCATTATCAACCATCAAATGTGAAATCAGGTGGTTAAAAATATATCATTCATGGCACACAAAATCCAAAATAAACTTTCTTAAATATTACGATCGACTTCAATTTATTGAATTTCACATCTAATCACTAAAAAAATTTGTGACCATATTGCATAAATAAATAATCTCATAGCAGACAATCCCATCCCTATAACAAGCAGCTACCATGTTATAAATTAGAGCCACACCTTTTAGTGCAGGAACTCCATAGATGCCTGGAAACTAATGTAAATCCAAAGAACTTGTAAACGGTTCAACATAGAGCCTCCTAAATACACTACTTTTAAGGCTCAGGTTCAGAAGATCAATTTGATCATTTTCCAATACCCAAATTAGATTTTCCAAAGAGGACCTGATTGAAGTGCTGCTTTGCTTTCATGTATAATAACACTGCAGCTCTTTACCTTTTATTTATAGCCCAGGCTTTATGGAAGCTTTTCCCTTTCAAGGAATGGCGCCACATGATACCACTTTTAACACACTAAAAAAAATTTGAATTTTTTATCCATATCATGTGTAGTATCTCAATTTATAAAGTTTTGAATCATCTTCACCATCGCTAAGAAAGAAAATGAGATTTAACACATGACTAGAAAGTTTTCCTCTTTTCTTTTATTTTTTTCTTTTTTGAAGGTAGTTCAACAGATATAACACTGCTAAACTTCAGCTGCTAACCATTCAAGCCAGAGTTGGCCCACTTGTGGAGGATAATTATAACCAATTTTCACTGTGCAGTTTCCCCATTAAACGCACCTAGAATACACAGATTCCTCAAATGAAGTAATTGTAATATAAAAAGAGACCATTCATTTTTCGTTGCGGTTTGTATAGAGCCGAGACTCTACGCACCTTCAAATAGTGATAAATGTGGTTTTAATAGCCTTAAAATGCATTTTCATCTTTAATTATAAAATTTAAAGCTCCAAAAATAGTGTAGATGAGGGCGTAAAGAGGTCATAATCACTCCAACTCATTAGATGTTAAATTTGATGAAAATAAATGGTCGCATTGTATACGATCCCAACAAGGAACCGTATGCCATAAGACCATTTATCTCAAATACAAGGAGCTCGCAATCAATCCTAAAAGATGCAAAATCAGGCAGCTAGGGGCGATGCAAAGTTCCAGGAAAAATCAATTGAACTTGAGTGCAGTCCTTAACACACCCACAACATCCAACTGCTACCAGTGATTGTGAAAGGGCCTGACTACAAGTTTGTCAAAAGAAAAGGTTAAAAAAGGTATAGCACCTGATGCATACATGAACTAATATACCTTAATTACAAATGATGTGCTTGTGCACATTGCCAATCCTAGATAGGGACCATGTTATGCTATGAATACAAGGCTACCAATATTAATTTTCATCAAGTGAGATCACAACAATTAATCAAACATCTTCCATTTATCAAGTAGATATGAGAGTTTCCACAAACTCAACAGAACAATCCAAGAGAAATCCTTCAAAAAGAACTAAAAAAGTGGAGGAAAAGGAACCGAGCTCATCATCTATAGAAAGATTTTACATCTCCCCTACAAAATCATTCCAAACAGGCAGCACAAAATACGTGTTCATTGATGGAAAAGACTATACTTCCTATCATAAATTTAAACTCACTTAACTAAACTCCTAAGCGACAGGGTCCCCCCAACCTGAAGGTTGTGGAGGAAGATCAACAGGCATTGGTGGGGGTGCAGGATCAGTTTCCCATCCATCAGCCACAACGCCTGCAACAATTTGACGGGAAAAAAAATAAGGAACTCGGTAGTTCTTGCATATATCTCATATGGTTCTCACAAAGTTGAGCTAGAGCTAATTCTTTAAAAGCAATAACTCCAACAAAAACCAAAGTTTTGAACAGATTCAAGTATTGATTTTCCAGGATTTCATTATTCCATGCAAAGATAAAGGACCTTAAGGTTAGTCAAACCTAATTCTTACATGACAACAACCCAGCAAGTTGCAAAACTATAAGCATTACTTTGCATGGTTTTATTAAGTCATGCAAATCACAGAGATGAAGAGGAGGTCAGCTAAACCCTTTCTTTTTCTTTTCTCTGATCATTAATTATTTTCCTTGCTTGATAGCTAGAGCCTTTTCTTGCAAACACCAACACTTCCCAACAATCCAAACAAAATAAAAAATCACCAATACAAGATGGCCATTCAGCTCCCACAAGTGGGATCCTCGAGTTCATGGATATTCTGGTTCCTGACCGTCGTAAGAAAGAGAAGATTTGAAAGGGAAAATATAACTCAAACTTCTTATAGCTAAAACAAACAAATACCCAAGATTTTTTATAGGTCTTTTTTTTTCCCCATCGAATACAGCTTTTCTTTGGTAAGTTATTTGAAAGCGTCAGAACAAATGGTAAATTTGCATGAAAATAGTTCATGGGCAACCAAAAGAAGTATGTAACCATAAGGGACAGGGTTACCTGTAGGAGTGCTCCACTCTCCGGCAGGAATAGTAGGAACAGGAGGTCCAGTGACCACTTCACCACCCCACTGAGCATCGCCAATTTGGGCGGTGGGCCATTGCTCCCCAGCTAACTCTCCTGTGTAAGCAGGGGCCCCATAGTCAAGGGCCGGGGCAACCTCCTCTTCTTCATGTTCTTTTGCTTCCTCAGGTTCTCTATAAAAGAAGAGATCAACCTGTATGTACACAAAGCAGTATTATAAAAGATGAGAACCCATCTAACCCATCATGTTCTCATCTCTAGTGTCTCAAACCTAAGCACCACTTATAATTATGTTCTCAAAACAATATTGCCCTCCCTCCAAAATAGGGTCTCATTTACTATGTTCTTTATAAATTAGTTCATTTAATTAATTTTTGCACCCATGTTACTTACTGTCTACACCCATGTTATTGCTAAGCCCATTCATAACATTGACAGAAATACCAAAAAACACGTGTTAAGACAGAAATGATATTGCAATACAGGCGGCATAGCATGTTATTGTTTATCTATTGGCTTGTTTATCAATTAAGCTAGCTAGCATAGTTTTTTCTTTAGTTGCTTTCCTTTGCAATAGTCCTCCAGTTGGCTTCATTTACTTGCAAGAGTGGCGAATTATGTAGATAGTTAAGGAAGGTTCAGAAGTCACACTTTACTATAAAATAAGAAGCAACAACTGTAATAGGTGAGTAATGAATGGAAGGAATGGGGTTCTAGGACTCTTAACACGAGGATCAGCAAGCATTTCTGTCATGAAATAGGGAAATGTTAAGGTTGACTGCACCTTATGGAGATGTTTGCTCTGGTGTTTGTGTCCAGGAAAGAGGGTTTGGTGATAAGATGAACGTGGGGGTTAAAGATTGGCATTTTAGAGGTTGCCAAACCCTGATTAACTCTAAAGTTTTGCTCATTTGCTAAGGCTGTAACACGAAGTTACAGTTTGGACTTTGATTTCTAAAGCAAGTGTGTTTGGGAAGGATTTCACATATTGCCGAAGGAAGTTCAGAAACGCGAGTACCATGTGGAAGTTTTTCTCATATAATGAGAATTCTAATCTCTACCTCCCTATCAGCTGATTAATTCCTAACTAAGGTAGTGGCAACCTTGGCTATAATGTAACATAAGTGGTCAATTTCTGAAGCAGTCGATGGATGTGTGAATTGGCCTTTGTAATCTTGGTTAGTTGTCAGAGTGGCAATGTTGGTTGACTGGAGGCAGTACATCATTGTGCCCTGTTAGGATTAAATGAGCTTGGCATCAATTTTCTTGATCTTCAAACAAGAGGTAGCATATTGGAAAAAACCTTGGGTAAGAGTTTTCTATCGATACAAACAATCCATGTAAAACATTTATAGCAATACAGTTAACTTTATAAAAAAGAAAGAGTTTTCTATTGATCTGGGTTTTCATGATGCCATTTGTTAATTCATAATCATAATAGCTGATGTAGTGTTAGTGACATGGAAGAATGTTTGACATACAAGGATCTATGTGGAGGTTGATGAGGATCGATAGGAATCAGGAAGGCTCAAAAAGGGTAAGGGTATACCCAGTGCGGCACCTGTTAGGTGATGCGAATTGGTTCAAGTGGAAGGCTAAAAAAGAGTAAGGAGTTGGCCTAAAAGGACATGGTTGGAATTAGTGAGAAACGATTTGGGAACTTGTGACCTCTATGGCCCTTGATAGAGCAGAATGGTAGACTAGGATTCATGTAACCGACTTCAAATAGTTTGATAAAGGCTTTGATTATGATGAATATTACAAATATTCTCATTATTTTGTAAATCCTGTGATAATCATTATTCCTGGTATTTTTAAAGAACATACTTTCCCTAGTGCTCTGAGTTTTCCCCTTTATTTTACCAAGCTAATTTTTGAGAAAATCAATTTATCCTTGAACCTAAATTTGAGTACAGTTTTTAGGGAACTTGTTTTTTATGTGATTGTTTTTGGCATGCACACCTAAGGTTCACGCTACTATGTTTGTATCCATCAAATAAAGCTGAAAATAATCAAAAAAATAATTTGAACATGACAATGCAAATCCAGATCTGGAAGGCTGCAAGGATACAGAATAGTTCCATGAGAAAGACTTGTTCTTTTAACATTCCAAAATATCTTCAGAACTTAATCCAAAGTGCTGTGCACACTAATGTTTGAGAAATGGATTGGCCCAGATGAGCAAACTTGCTTGGTAGACATTTTTCAAAGGAGACTAAAATACAATTGTTATGCAGAATCTAACAATAATAAATGCCAGAAAGAAAAGGCTGTGTTTCCTGAACATACCATGACTTCCCACTTTTGCCCTGGAAGAATGGTACCCCTCATCTGCAGAACCATTCTTGCCAACAACCAAAAGAGGCAGCCGATGCTGTGCTTTCCCTTGTTGTTTGCTGGAATGCCAATATCAACATAACGCATTGGCGAATCCGTATCGCAAAACGCTATTGTTGGAATGTTACCCAGTGCAGCCTCCTTGATAGGCTGTCAGATAATTTCACACCAAACAATGAGGAGACAAATAATCCACAGAAAAGTCATCATCATTGTAATCATCATCTCTCTCCCCCTCTCCAAAGCCCCTCTCTCAAGGATGAAACCCAAATATGTGTGTGTGCGTGTGCAAAAAAAATTACATTTGCCACCCTCTCCATATTCCCTATGTTTGCTAGCCAAAAAATACATGTTAGGGGTATTTTTTTAACCCAAATTTTTGCTCATACATCTTGAAGAAAAAGTAGATAGTAGTTTTCCAAGAAGAGAAAAAATAGGATAATGGACAGCCATCCGTTTTGGTACACTGTCAGATCCAGGTTTAGATCTACAAAAAAATCATAAAATTGTTCATATGGTGTTTTTATGACCTTGCCCAAAGTTTGGGGTCACACAAGTCCCATAAGAATGGCCTTTTTGAGGGTGACATATGGGATTTAGGGAGTATGCAAGTGCCGTGTAATGTCCCAACCAAGATGGGAACCCCATAATACAGAAAATAAAACCAATACTCTCTCTATATGGGAAACCCACTAACCAGAGAGAGAGCAATACTCTCTCTACATAGGAACCCCACTAATCAGAAAGAAAACAAACCCTCCCTTCCCCCCTCCCTCAAAAAAGAGGCCATAACAGACAGGATTTACCTGGTGATCAGTCCTGGGATCTGTCAAGATAAGGAGGCGAGGCTCACTATATGAAGTCTGAAGCTGATTTGTGAATGTTCCAGGGGTATGTCTCCCTGCAATAGGATGAGCTCCGACATAATGGGCAAACTTCAACACAGCTCTCTGTCCATAGGGCCTCGCGCTCTGAACAATGATATCCTGAGGATTTTCGATAGCAACTATGACTCTCGCGGCCATCTGGAGTTTCTCCCATGTCTTACCAAGATTTATTATATAAATTCCTGATAAATAACAAAGTAGTAAGATGCATAACATTGAAGCTACAAGAATTTTTGGGTAAAAGGATTTTCTTTCCATAAGGTCCCATGCTCTGAACAATGATAGCCTGAGGGCTTTCATTAGCAACTATGAGTCTTGCAGCCATATGGAATTTCTCCCATGACCTACCAAGATTTATAATATAATTCTTGATACATAATAGTCAGAGGAAAATCATTGAAGCTACAAAGTTTTGGAAGAAGGATTTTCTTTTCAAAGTATTTATAATCCATGTTATGAATCACGATTTCAGCTTTTCAATATTATTCCTTTCATGGAAGACCACTGAGGGGCCCTGAACCTCTAGGCATCCAAGGACACCATTTTTACTGTGTTTTATTCCATATGACCACCTAGGGTTCCTAGACATTATTTCCCAAGTCTAATGAATTTTTTTTTTTTCTTTTTTATGATATGAAATATCACGTTTTTCTGCATAAACTGACAAGCACATTCAGAAAAATACCTCAAAACTCTACATTATCCTTGTGCCACCCAGCCCCAATAATCCACCCTCTACATTGATCAGATTTTTTGATCTTTTTATTGAAATTTCAATTTATAAGCCCTGCATTTTTAACCTTCCCACTTTCCCAGCCCCTGCCTCCAACACAAGCAACTTTCTCTCAACACATTTTATAAGATTTGCTAGTCAAATTACTTCATGATACAATATACATATGATATCCACCATGAAAATCCCAAACAATAATTGCACTAAATAAAATGACGATGGAAATCCCAAACAAAAACTTAAATATACAAAACCAATGGCCGAACACCCATACAAAACCTCTATAAAATTTAAACAAAGTTGTAAAATTGTGAAGTTAACTAGTTACATGGAATGATAGACCTATTCTGACATTCAAATCCCTCATGTATGTTAATAACCTATAAAACAAACGCAATGCCCAGTACATATGATGCAAACATAACATGTAATTTCTGAACCAGAGAGGTCTAATCTCGACTGACAAATCCTGATCCCAATTGATAAATGAAATCAGATGGAATTCCGGGCACAAGCATTTTAAAGAGTGAGAGAGAGAGATCTGATAAGAGACATAAACCTAACCTGAAACCAAATAACCATAATATGAACTGTGAAATTATCCCCCCCACCCCCCCGGCACAAAAAAAAATTGGGGAACCAATCTCCTAAAAACTAAAACCAAAATGATGAGCTCTTAGGAACTTGATTATTGAAATGAGCCTTTTGTAGACTTCAAAAATCGCATTGCTAATGTTCTTAATAGAAGGCCTCAAGCCGTTCATCACATGATTTAAAACTCAGATTTTTGAAATACTGGCCTACCTCAAGACAGGAATCACGGATCTCAACAAAAACATGATCAACCTAATATGAAGCAGTAAATCCTAATATCCAATATGAAAGTCCCTGATATGTATGTTAAACGAAAAACATGAAGATAAACATAAGGCCCAATAAGACTAACACTTCATTTTGCAATATAATCTGTTGCTTTTTTCTTTTCTTTTTTCCTAAATGGTAATACTAGCTGCACTACAAACATGATATAAACCCAAAATCCTCAATCTAAACTGAAACCCTAGAGCAAATATATTTACTATCAGCATGAAATTTCAATCTAACTAGAACAAAATATTTACCATAACAAAAAAAACCATAAATGAACACTGCTAAAGCCTTTAAATAGTGTAACCCCAGAATGTGAAGCAAAAATACCTAAATGGAATCAGAACTCCCAAATTCTAACTGACAAACCACATAGGCCGAAAACCCTAATCCAATCCAAAACTCTAAATCCACGCACTATCAATGCAAGCTCGAAATTCCAATCTAAATTCCCGTATAAACTGTCACTAGAAATGCCACATATGAACAATAAAACAATCTCTAAATGATAAAAGAAAAACTAATGCGATAGAGAAAAAAGCTCACCATCAGTTATTCTCTTCAGTAAAACAATCTATAAATGATAAAAGAAAAACTAATATGAAAGAGAAAAATCTTACCATCAGTTCTTCTCTTGAAGACATATCTTTCCATCTGAAAGTCACAGTTCTTGGTACCTAGATGGACATCAGCGGCCAGCATCATCTGTATGTCCGCCTCTTTCTGAGAAAGCTCCGCCATGGTTAATCACTCTAAGCTCCGCAGACCCTAAAAACCCTAATCCTAGAGAGAAAGACACAGAGACAGCGAGCGTTATAAAATGTTTTCTCTATCTCAACTTTCTTCTCTATCGAGCCTTTGGTTCTGGGGTCCTCTCCTGTATCTGTGGACTATAAAGAAGAAGGAGAATTTAATACGTGGACTACAGAAGGAGATTAGAATCTAAAAGGGTGTATAGTGAATCGTGCTGATAGGATCTCTTCACGTCCGGGTATATAGTGAAGACAAATGATTAAAAAATAAAGTTTGATCCGGATCTCCAAACCAGTCTGGACCACTAGCAAATTGAATTCCAAAACCCGTCGTGACCGTCATCTATTCACATCGGCAATCTTGCCTAAATAATTAGGCAAACAAAATCTAAAAAATAAAAAAAACTTTTAAAAATTTAATTTAAAAAAAAGCGGGTCTGAATCGGCTTGTTCTGATAGAACCAAGTAGTTTTTAATATATGGTGGGAATCAGATTGGCCCTATGGTTCACAAATTGGATCGAACAATTCCAATGCAAATCGACATTTTTTAAAACCTTGATCATAAGAACTAGATCAAACTTCTCATTATCACGCTTGAGGAGCAAAAATCCCTGCAATGTACACTACTCACAAGTGCGTATCCTATGGCTTTCTTGTAAAAGTGATCGATTTTCCTCCGTAAAATGTTTCTTAATTTACCTAGAATGAATATAGAATTTATTTATTTATTTTCCAAAGACCAATCTCTGAAATGGGGGGCTGCTGGGTTTTGAAACCCAGCAACAGGAATTGCTAGTTCAGATTAGATTTTTTGAGTCTAAAGTACCCACACATCCAGCCTTTCCCGATTTTCCATTTTATTATTTTTTGAACCAAATTTCTACACTGATTCATAACGCAGATCCAGAGATCCAAAATGTGATTCTGGGTTAAAATTTGTTAGTACTAGGAAAAAAATAAAAAGATGGATTTTCAATAACGAGCGCTCAAATCATGGACCTGCATGTATATTATTTGGCTTCGTTGTTTCCAAACGTGCTATGTTATATGGCTCTCTCTCGCTCTCTTTCTTTTACCTTTTTTTTTTTTTAATAGCTTTTTTTTGTTATTGTTATTGAAATGCATGTTTTGATGGTATTTTCAATCGACTCAAACCCATTCGAGCCTATGTCCAACTTTTAAACCCTGCTAGTTAGCTCCTAGTCATTTAGAAGCATGGACTTGGCGATCCAGTCAAGTTGGGTTTGGGTCTAATCCACACTAACTAGGGGCAGTCGGGACCTTGACCCGGTATCATTATCAAAACACATGATCATTTATTCTTAAATAGAATTTGTGAAATTGAATTACAAAAAAAAAAGTGAGATGTTAAATAATTTATCTCACGGTCCATTTCTCTATGGGGATTATATATTGTGGGACTATATATTTTTAGTACAAGGACGTCACAATTATTACTAGCCATTAGATGTCATATTGGATGGTTTGGGGTGTATCATGAAGTTCGAGAAATTTTGGTGAACTTTATATGTAGTCAATAGCATACTCAACCATTCATTTTGAAATCTGATGGACAAGAATAATTATGACCTCCTTGTATTAAAAGAAAATGGTATTTTTCCTTTGTTAAATTCACCGATATTTTTTTATATTATAAATAGATTGTATACTATATGATTATTTATTCTTGGTACAAGGAGGGCACAATCGTTCTTAGCCATTTAATATGAAATATGACAGATTAAAATGTGTCACAACATTCGAGAATTTTTATTTTGATCATTGTGCTTAGTCAATGACACATCTCCAACAACTTGATTTCAAGTCCAATGGTCAATAATAATTGTGATTTCTTTGTATAAAACATAAATGGTCTTATTATATATATTTTTTATTATAAAATATATATAAAAATATTCTATATTATATATTTTATTTTTCATATTTTTTACCATAGTGTGACCTTACATCAGGTGAGGGTTTGATGAATCAAGACTCTACAAGGTATGAGTCAACCCCCTGAGCCGGTCCTGACCTGACCGGTTTGCACCCTAAAAATAAGAGAGGAGAAAAATTCTTAAGGAAAACATGGAGACAAAGGAATAACATGAGAATGACCCCCAAAGAAAAGTATAAAGAGCAAGCCATACCAGTCCTTGGTCAGAAAACTTAAAGTCGTGTTTGATAGGTGGAACTTTTTTAGAATTAAAAACCTGAGTCCCACCAAATCAAACTTCCACGCTTGTGAGGAGCGTGCAGAGAACGCCCCTATTAAAAAGGAAAAAGTTTATATACGGGTGCTATCTAATATAATAATGTAAAACTACAGATGCCTTTCAAAAATCTATAAGAAAAAAGTCGTTTTAATGTGAAAATCTATCAGATCAAAATGTATGGTTATGAAAAATAAAAAGATTTTAAGTCTAAAAAATAGTGCATTTTACAACATATTATGTATACCGTTTATTTTCAAGATTTTCATATGGTTATAAATCTACTTGATTTTAACCATTTTTTAAATTTAAAATTTTATAATTAGATATAAAACTAGTTTTTGAGATAATCCTAAGAACATTTTACATCAAAATTATATGCCATGATAAAATTTGAAGGTGCACCATACCTCTACACCTACGCATGCATCCGTATGCAAACTGCACCGTATTAAAAATACCCCATTTTGTTTTGGAATAAGCAGCTTTCATGCTGCGGTTACCATTTCTTATGAAAGGGAAAAGTTTATATAGAGCCGAGGCTCTAATCAATCAAATTTAAGCCTACCTCGAAAATTTAACTAGAAGTTGTTTTGATGTCCAAATATCCCATCATCTTGACATCAAGATGCATGGACATGAGAAAAAAATAAATTTCAAGTTTTGGAAATAGTGGATTTTATAACGCATTTTTGGACCGTCAATTTTCAAGATTTTCAAGTTTGCATACATCTATCAATCTACACTATTTTTGAAGCTTTAAACTTTATAAATAAAAATGAAAATAAATTTTAAAGCTATCACAAATATTTTCAATATTGAAACCACATTTCCCCATACTATTTGAAGGTAGACTCTAACTTGATTGTTTAGAGCCTAGGCTCCATACAAACGGCACCCTTTATGAAAAGAGGATGCCATGGCTAGGGTTGGCAATTGACCCGACTAGAACTTGGACCCAACGGGTATACCCGACCTCAGGTTTGGGTATAGGTCCAACTTTTGGACCCGAATTCAGCCAGACCCAACCTGTACCCGTAGTCATAAGGTGGTAATGGATTCAACCAGACCTAGGACCAGACGGGTCCAAGTGCAGGTCCAAATTTTAGACCCGAATACTATTCGGGTTTGGGTCTAGGTCCAGCTAGAACAGAGCCGTACCTGACCCGTTGCCACCCCTAGCCATGGCAGCCCCATCTTCCTTTTTTCTCAAACATGGCTTAATTGTGCTATGAGTTATAACACAGCTCCAAAAAAAAAAAAACCATATGGATGTAGGCTCACCAAGCAGTACCATAATGTATACGAGTAGGCTGGCAAGGGGCCGGGCAGCCCAGCCCGGCCCACTAAAAGACTAGGGCATGGGCCATAAAATGAGGCCCAAGAGCCTGGCCGGCTGACTAGGCCCCTTTTTTATTATTATTATTATTATTATTATTATTTTCCTTCATTTGTTCTTGGCCCGGCCAGCATAGTGGCCAAGGCAAGGGCAGGTCAGGCCCATTACAAGCACTACAAATAAGAGCCTTGGTATTTCATTTTATTTCTTCGCAAATTAATTTCCTAAATAGAAATTAAGAACCATCTAAATGTAGTTACGGATATTTTCTTTTCAAAAAAAAAAAACAGTAAAAATCATTTACCTTTCGTCACAATCTGCCATTGGATATAAAATTAGGCAGCCATGGTTGTCCTCTCAACAAGACTCAAAATCAAAAGAACATCTTCAGTCGAAGGAAAATCTTTTGACTTCTATGATACATCTTTACTGTTAGATTTCCTTTGTGAAATCTCACCTCCTAAAGTAAACGGTCTTATACCCCTCTTTTATTTTTATTTTTTAAAAATGTTTTTCTAGAAAGCAGAACTCGGGAAGAAGGAAAACTATAAAACAGATATAATAGAAATGCTAGTCTAAGAAAAAAAAATCTCTAATTAATAGATAAATAAAGTTAGATAAGAGCATTAATCCATACATCTAGTACTTGTTTGTTTGGACACAGGATCCTAAGAGCTCCTGAGGCCATCTGATGTCCACAGTGGCTGGTTGAGTAGTTTCAGTCATCAGACCGAAGTCCGTCCCCTGAAAACATCATACCGTCCAATGTCGACGACCACCTGTGAAGGAGACTCACCACACAATCAAAGTCTGCAAATTTTCTGAGACTTTGAGCATAGAAACAAAGCTCCTCAACCAACTGTTATTGATATCAGGCGGTCCGAGGAGCGAATAGTATCCTACTTCCCAACAAACACATAATATCATATACATTTCTAGAAAGGAGTTCCTCCAAGATCATCACTAAATTTTCATAGGGCCTAGGGCTTTATGAATTTTGGTATGGCTGCACCTCAAATCCCCATCGGAAAGCATTCCGGCACTCAAAAACCTTGGATGGCTCGCAACCATGAAGATAGAAATATTAAGAATGACCCAAGTCGTGGATCAGAAGAATCTAAACTACTCACACACTTAGAGGCTACCACGCCATTTTTACAAGGGTGTGGTTTCTATGAGGTTGCAACCTTAAACAATCCAATTAAGGCGCACCTTAAAATTTTATCATAACATGTAATTTTGTTGTAAAAAATTCTTAGAATTATCTTAAAATCTATTTTCATACTTAATTAGAAAATTTTAAAATCCCAAAATTGTTAAAATCAAGTAGATCTATAAATATATGAAAATCTTGAAAATGGATGCACTAGATAATGTGTTGCAAGATGCACTATTTCCGGGACTCAAAAATAAATTTTTTTCATATTCATACATCTCGGTGTCGAGATGATCGATTAGAGGGTTTTTTCAACATTAAAACAATATTTCCAATAGATTTTTGAGGTGCACATGTGATTCTACATTTTGAGGTTGCAACCTACCTTATTAAAACTTTTCCCTTTTTACAGTTCATACACATAACAATACGACTCAATCAACATTTCCAAGAACTTAAAATTT